TGTCATGGAGGAGCGGAAGAGGACTCCAGTGGCAACCTGTGTACCCCTGGTGAACTCCATACCCATGAGGATTAAGGCAGTGCTGGAAAATAATGGTGGCCACACAAAATATTGACACTTTGGGCCCAATTTAGACATTTCCATTTAGGGAAAGAAAGGGGAGAGGAGTCTGCGCTAGATAGCAAAGATAAGAGCTGCAACCCTAAAAGGGAATCCCTCTAGAACCCTTAATAAAATATATAAAAAGAAGGGGGTGAAGGGCTGCGCTAAATTGGAGATAAATAAAATATAAAAAAGAGTGGATAATAAAATAATACAATAAAATATTACAATAGAAAATTCAATAAAAAAGATAATATAAAAAAGATAAAACAAAGTCCTAATAAGAGTAAAACTTAAAAAGTCCAATAAGATGCATAAAAGATGTCTCACTGATATGTAGATAAGCTGTATATACAGTCCTCAAAGATATATCCTTCCGAGTTTCCAGGGAGTCCGTATATGAAAGATAAGAGCACAACAAACTTCCAATGGTATAGTATGTACTGAGAGGATTAGCGAAAATAAATAAAATGGAGGATAATACGCTCACATTTGTTGGAGCTTTGGACCAGCTCTTAGTTGAAAGGCACTTAGCGGTATAATCCCCGCTAAAGGATATGCTGTAGTAGTAGGTCCTTCCGTCCGGCTTGGATTTCGTGGGATTTTGCAGGTTATATAAAAACAAATATAGTGCTCTCAGTAGGAAGGGAAAACAGAATAAAATGAAATAAAATATACTCACATTAATAGAGCAGAGAATACTGCTCTATTTATAATGCGCCGGTGGAATAATCCCCACCTGTGGATTGCTTTAAGCAGGAACAGTTAGATGCCAGGAAAAAATTTAAAAATGTGTATATACAATAAAACTAAATTGGTCCTATAAATAAGGGTACCAAATAAAAGTTTTTATTGTTGAATTACACAGTAAAAAACCATTTGACGCGTTTCACCTCATGGGCTTTATCAAAAATGGCTAAGAGCAATAACCTGGCATGAAACAGTTTATATAACAAATATACAGTAATTGAAATTGGCACCAAAAACAAATGCACCAATTACAGGCAAGAATTAACAAAATATTTTGCATGTTTGTCAAATTAACACAGAATAAAAATATTATATATATATGGTTAGTATCTTATACACAAAATGGTTTTTCCATTAAAATGAGCTTTCGTTTTTATAATAATTTATGTTGAAAGATGTCACATGATCGGGTGTATGACGCCGCAGCACGTGACCGGCAGGGGCGAGCGAGGGCTCATGGGTAGTGTATGCCGGTCACTGCTGAAATTGCTGAGCGGCACAGTGTTTGTGGGCGGCGAAAAATGCTGTGGCACGTGACCGGCAGAAAGGAGCAGAGGCTCTTGGGTGATTTAGTTTAGTTTCTGCCGGTCACTGCCAGAAAATAGTAAACGGCTTGTAAAAGCATTATAAATATGCCGTTCTCCTTCAGGAATTATATAATAGAAAACATTGTGTATAAGATACTAACCATATATATGTAATATTTTTATTCTGTGTTAATTTGACAAACATGCAAAATATTTTGTTAATTCTTGCCTGTAATTTGTGCATTTGTTTTTGGCATTTTTTTGTTTTCAGCACTTTTTACCACCCACAAACACTGTGCCACTCAGCAATTTCAGCAGTGACCGGCATACACTACCCATGAGCCCTTGCTCGCCCCTGCCGGTCACGTGCTGCGGCGTCATACTCCCGATCATGTGACATCTTTCAACATAAATTATTATAAAAACGAAGGCTCATTTTAATGGAAAAACCATTTTGTGCATAGGATACTAACCATATTTTTATTCTGTGTTAATTTGACAAACATGCAAAATGTTTTGTTAATCCTTGCCTGTAATTGGTGCATTTGTTTTTGGCGCCAGTTTCAATTACTGTATATTTGTTATATAAACTGTTTCATGCCAGGTTATTGCTCTTAGCCATTTTTGATAAAGCCCATGAGGTGAAACGCGTCAAATGTTTTTTTACTGTGTAATGCAACAATAAAAACTTTTATTTGGTACCCTTATTTATAGGACCAATTTTGTATATACACATTTTTTTATTTTTTTCCTGGCATCTAACTGTTCCTACTTAAAGCAATCCACAGGTGGGGATTATTCCACCGGCGCATTATAAATAGAGCAGTATTCTCTGCTCTATTAATGTGAGTATATTTTATTTCATTTTATTCTGTTTTCCCTTCCTACTGAGAGCACTATATTTGTTTTTATATACCCTGCAAAATCCCACGAAATCCAAGCCTATTGTCCAGTCTTCTAGGACTGACTTTGACTAACAGCATCAGGGGTTTAAGATGGAACGCTTAGTGGCATTGTTTCCTACATAGAATTGTGGTGTTAAACAGGGAATGGTGTCTCACTGGGTCAAGGGTGAAGTAATGGGTGTGGGGATATTTATGGGGTGATAAATTAAAAATAATATTTTCATTAAATAAATTAATTTAATAATTTTTATTACATCAAAATTGATATCTTGAGAATTACCCACTATTTTAATTATCTTAGATCCTAGAGAACATCATCATTTTAGAGGATTTTTACTCCATACAATTAAATCACAAATTCTATTATAAAAATATAATTTATTGTGACAATGATAATAATATGTAACATGCGTGGTAATAATCAGTGAATATTTAGTATAACGTAAGCAATCAACAAAATGGCAATGATTTTAAACAAATTCAATTGCTACAGCACCAACTGTCAAGACTTACAAATTTACAATATGTAAACAATCCCACAGGACACAGAAACTTCACACAGCACAGCGAGAAGCCATAACATCTTGGCTCACAGTTAGATCCTGATTAACTCTTTCAACGCTGGCTAAATCCTCCTAGGCATATAATATCCTACTGTATTGCTATTTTTAATTAAATTAACGTTCATATCATTAACCATTCCATGGAACCGTCCAATAAGAATAATCTACTCGATTTTTACAAAAGCCGAATTTAACTCTACATAAGATACACGATCTTAGTTTAGAGCAAATCAATACACCTGGATAAAAACAGCGGTATGCTAACACGTGATAAATATATTATATATATATATATATATATATATATATATATTTATTTATTTATTTATTTATTTATTTATTTATTTATTTTGATTCCACCTGCAGAATGGAATGTTTATAACTATATATTCTTTAGTTAACTAAGATTTCTCAATTATAGAATCTGACCGGAATTTATCCAGGCATATATCTTGCTATTAGTAAATATTTTAATTAATTAAATAAAACCAGCCTAATTACCAGTTATGTAGATGCTCTTATCAGATGAGTAGGTAGTCCCAGGAAAGAATGGAAGTATGGTAAATGTTTGTAAGGAGGTGTGCATGTGATAGAGAAAGAGATATTGGTTAGAAAATAATAGTAAAATTCTAAGTGTCTAGGAAGTGTTTCTTGAGTTGAGTCCAAGAGATTTTAAGAGTTGAGTGTTAGTCCCAGAGTGTCCTGGATCTCTCCTCCATCTCCTTGAATGTCCGAATTCGGAATCCGAATGTGAATGTCTCTCTTCCCTTTGTTCCTAATTTTTTAAAGGGCCAGACTCTCTGTACATCATTAGTTGATAAGGCCAATAGGACATTGAAGGTGTGGTCAACTCACAGACCACAATTTAGATTTTGGTCAGTAGATGGTGCTCTCTCCTCATCAAAATTTTGTGTTGAATCTTTGCCAAGTTAAGGTAGGTCCTAACATGACCTAATTGAACATCTAAGGTATAAATATGTGTACTGTGGTAGGATGGCCAGGCTCTTCACAATAAACTTCAAATGCAACAGTCAGGATAAAATAGTACTGCAGTTTATTGTCACTTTCCACAATATATACAAGGTTGTGCTCTCCCACAAAAATAAAACAAAAAGAAAATAAATGCTACTCCAACTTGGAGACTTACTAAACAGTGTTACTAACTATTCAACTGGCCAGCTAATCTGGTTCCCAGTTTTAAACAAAATGAAATACAGCACTTTAAGCAGGTTTCATACAGTACCTTTTTCTCAGAGTCTCAGGCTTAACTGCCTCCTCTCTCCCAGCTGTTAGATTCCCCCATGTCTTCAGAGGCTAACCTTTTAAAACCCTAGTCCTGGTTAATTACATTCACCTGGTTGATAACATTCAAGGGATGACTCCCACTAATTAACCCTATCATGCTGGGAATAGAGAGCGCTCCAATCTATTACTAACATAAAAAGCCTCTCTGACCCTGCCACAGTACTTATTAATATTAGGACACAGAGGAAAGAATTCGGAGACAGAGACGCTGCTCCATTATATCATGACTGAGGGTTTGTTCAAGAGGGTATGTTATTCTATTTTCTTGATATTGCAAGCATATACTTTAATTTTATAAACTCTGATATAAATTATTGTAATGGATTATTAATGTTTTATATGTCTGTATTTGTATTTGTAGTTAATAAGATAGTTAAAAAGACAAAACTTTATTGCTTCCAAGACAATCACTTTTATATATTTTATTCTCAATTATTTATATATTTTAAATAGAGGAACTCTTACTAACTATATAATATTATGGCTAAGATATCTGTATGGTTAGCCCTGCTAAATTCTATGCTTTAAGACATTATAGTGGTAAATAGGGGAATCGGCTGCGGTAACACTGAACAGGGAATTAATTACATGCCAGGTGCATGTAGGCACAGAATTCTAAGGTACCCCGCAACATCCCCACTCAAAAAACTTTAACAACAGAGTGAGTTTCGTGAATGTATTAACTGGATATTGCAATCATAAATGGATCTAAGAAGCATATATTAATATTTAACAACTGCATATGTAACTATGTATGTGTGTGAAAATTTCTGTTTGTATTGTGTTTGAATCTGTGAGTATAGTGAATATATGCATCTATGTAACTGCACGCAGGGTTAAAGATAATTTTTGAACTGGTTAAAGTAGATTGGGTTTGCAAAGTACTCACCCTCCTATGCTATCTGCAGTCCTGTCAGCCACACACAGACACTAGAGGAGCATTGAATTTCATAACTCATTAAAAGTGTTGAAAACAGGCACCCACTACAGAACAGGCACCTATAGGCTAGTATCTACATTGCCTCATTCAAAAACCTGAAATTCTGACATGAATGTTCAAGCCATTGATGAAGAAGCAGTAAATATAGGATACAATTTAAATATGTCTTTTTTTTCAGGCAATAATGTATACAGCATTATTTAGCATTATAGTCCCCTGCTGCCAGTTTTATATCTGTTTGTGGTAAGGATGAGCAGTACTGTTTGGAAATGTGGTGTTACAAGTCTTGAATTCTTCTGATGCCCAGAATTGCATCTCCCGTTAATCTTGGGCAGACCTGGATAGTGCATTCTAAAACAAAACCTGCCAGCCAAAATAAGGACACATCATGTAGTATATAATATGTATAAATACAATCCAAAATCCCCTGCACGCTAGGATGAAAGGTTAATAGTGCAGCAAGTGGTGCAAATTCATCAAAATTACAACCGGAGAGAAAGGAAGCTCTCATGGCTCTTCTTAATGCAAAACAAAAAAAGCTTCTTTTTTTTTTTTTTTTTTTGAATAATTTAATTGAGTTTTTTTAATATCAGTATAAAAATACACAACATACAAACAAAAATATTCAAACAAAGGATGATTGTCACATATCATACGTTGTTACAAATAAACATAAAAACATACAAAAACATTCAGAACAGCGCATTTCTGAGTTATAGCTTTTGTCCTATCCTGGTTTTATTTTCCTTCTCTTAGAAATTAATTATTCCCTTTTCTTTCCTATTTCCTTTCACCCCCCTTTTTTTTCTTTCTTTTTTTTTTTCTTTTTCT